ACAGCAAGGAGGAAAGGTTTCGCGTTAAAAAAACCGTGAATTTCCTAAACAATGAAGTTTGTCACCTGCAGCTACACCTGCTCAAGAACCCTGGTGATCAGCAAGGTGCGGCACGCCTCGCCACGCTCTCTAACAGCCTGGAAGCCTACGAACTGTCCCGAGCTTCAGAGATTGCTCTCAAAGCACAACTTAAAGTCGAGGGCTCCAGGGAGATGGGTGTGTCCTCGCTTCTGGTCGGGCTTCAAAGCCGTATCAAAGATTCCCTCATTCCACAGCTTAAACTTCCCTCTGGCGAGATTATCTCCGATCTCCCCCAAATGGCAAAGCACTGCACTGAGTACTTCTCTGCCCTTTACAGTGGCGCGACCCCGGTCTCCAATGACCCATCTTTCTGGCCCCATGTCCGCACGTCTGTCCTACCCCAGAGGCACTCCTCACGGCTGGACCGGCCCTTCACTCTGCCAGAGATTGAGAAGGCCCTTGGGCAGCTCGCTAAGGGCAAGACACCGGGGCCTGACGGGCTACCTGGCGACTTCTTTCGGACTCACAAGAACCTCTTCGCTCCTCTTTTTCTCCAACTGTGCACTGCTATCTCAGAACAGGGCCAGCTTCCCAACTCCATGAAGTCTGGGAGGACAGTCCTGATTCCCAAACGAGGCAGCACTGACCAGGTGTCCAGTCTCAGACCGATCACATTAATGAATGCGGATTATAAGATCATTGCTCTCATCCTGGCAAACCGCCTCCAAACAGTCTTACCATTGATCATCAACCCCGCCCAAGCTGCCTTCATCAAAGGAAGAAGAATAGGGGACACTATCAATGACACATTAGATCTTATGGAATGGGCTATCATCGAAGGCGATCCCCTCCTGGTTCTCACAGTGGATATACGGAAAGCCTATGATATGGTGGACAGAAGGATCCTCTTCAAGTACCTTCAACACCTGGGCATTCCCTCTGCCTTTATTCGGTGGGTAACCATGTTGCACTCTGATACCTCTACAAGAGTGTCTGTCAACAACCTAGCTGGCCCACCCTTCCCAGTACGTACGAGTGTCCGGCAGGGTTGTCCCTTAGCCCCCCTCTTGTTTGTCTGTGTTATTGAAGTTATGCAAAGGTACCTTCAAGCCTTTCTTCCCGGATATGCCTTCAATCAGTCCCAGCGAAGACTAACGGCCTGCTACGCCGACGATGTCTCCCTTTTCCTGAATTCGGACTCGGAGCTACGGACCACTACCCGTGCGCTACAAACCTTCGCAGCCATGTCAGGAGAATATCCCAACTGGGAGAAGTGCTCTCTCCTCCCCATCCACATCCCCAACTCGCACATCACACAGGCTGGGCAGATCCCCATTCGAGGCGCAGACGATGCGGAGAGAATCCTGGGAATATACGTCGAGCAGAGTCACCCCGGCTCTACCACGTGGAACAACATTATCACGCGCATCCGCGGGGCCACTCAATCACTGGCAAACTCTAAAGCCACTACCACCTGCCGATCACTGCTGTCCACGGAACGTCTTGCCTCCCTCTATGCCTTTGGCGCTCGGTTTCAACCTCCCCCCAAGTTGATCGTCACCACACTGGACCGTGTGATCGGCATCTTTCTCTCAAACTCCAAGTACAAGCAAAACGGGCTGGCGACTAGGTTCATTCCCGAACGCCTTCTTTACAACAAAAAGAAACATGGAGGTGTTGGCGCACTGAAACCCTCTGCACACATCCGAGCTCTTACCATTCAACGTGCTGTCCGCAGGTTTCAAGCCACTCCCTACGAGGACGTTGCGCACTCCTGCGTGCCAGTCCCTTACGGATTACATTGCTACCTCGCCCATCCCTCCATTCTCAAATTCTTGCCCCCTCAGGTCCCGGACAGGTTCAGGGCTGAACTGGAAGCCGTTCTTCCCCTTCCCTCTGTGGTGAAGCCACCCCGGTTGGATCCTTGGTGTCTCATGGCAGAGCCCGTGGCGTTTAACAGATTCATCTGTAAAGAGCCCGAGGTCCCTTTCGGACGACTGAAGAATGAGACATTCTTGCTCACCAACCAGATTCGTCTCGGACATCTTCTGGTCTCTACTCGACTGGGTGCGCGGAGACTCGAAGAAGAGGAGATCCTCGAAAAATACCCCCCCTCAATCTTCCCTGGCAGCAGGACGCTCATCACCAACATCTACGACTCGATTCCGCTCAGCTGGTGGGCTTCTCTCCGAAGATTCTCCCCAACCAAGACATACCTGGCGGTCGACGATTGGGTGCTCAAAGCCAACGACACACACTTGCCGACGAGGATATATCGCGTCACTTTCATCCTAACCGACTTTACAGCCCGCGTCAGCATCTTCAGGGTCAATCAAGGAAGGCAGGTGGAAGCTGACAGTTGTGGCAACTGCACGGTCTCTTTCAAGCACGTCATTCCTGTTCACGTTGAAGGAAGATGGCTGGCTGGTCCTTTTGACTCTGGCCCCGCGCTTGGCTTCCGGCATCAACTTTTCAACGGCTCACCCTCGCTAGCAGATATCAGGAACCTCCTTTATCGGCCCCTTCCTCTCAACCACCTGGAACGCTGGAACATCATCACACGGAATCCTATCCCCTTCCTTCCGGATTTTCATCACTCATTTCTCAAAGATCAACCTTCTCGCCAACGTGACATCCTATATCGTCTCTTCACGCTCACGCTCCCGTCGGGATCAAGGTTCCTCTTCACAAATACCGGAGGGATTTGCCCACGATGTGGCCCTCCGTCGATCGAAGACCTACCCCACATGTTCTTTGACTGTGGGCACGCTCCTGCGGTGGGCGAAGCTATTCAACGTACAGCGCTTCGTCACTTACAAACTCCGGTTGAGGCCGCGGCGGTTTTCTTCCCGCTTCAACACCCGTCCAGCCTCATCGCGCCATGGTGCCTTCTTATCGGCGCAGCAGCAACCATCCTTTGGCGAGACAGATGCTCCAGCCATTTCAATCAAACCACATACTCCCGCCTCGAAACACTGCACCGCATTCTCGCGCTCTTCCTATCGGCCTGCAAAATCTACTTCGCGCGGCGCTCCAAATGGTCAGAGAAGAAGCAGACAGCTACGATCAACCGTGTTCGTACAGCTCACACGCTTCGGCTTCTGAGTTTTGACGCGCAAGGAATTCCGCAGATACATCCTGCCCTTCGGGAGTCTTGGCTTCTGAACTATCCTTTTCATCCCCCTTAGAGTATGGCTGGTCTTTAGGTGTACAACCCCAGGAAGGCTTGTTTTTGCCTTCATGCTATCTGTCGATAGGCAAGTAATGCTGTTTTGCGTAGGTCTTTTAGACCTTGGCTTTAAGCCATGCTTGTGGTGTTGTACTTGTACATGGTTACGACCATAATAAAAAACCTTAAAACCTCGAACGTCTCGCTGATCGCCACGTGCCCATCGCCCGTAACGCCTTGGGCGTCTCCAGTACCGCAAGAGCGCCCGCCTACCACACGATTCACCTCCTATTCGACCCGGAACCTCCCACCCACCTTTCGTATGCTGCCCCACATTTCCCCCCCCCCCCAGCCATCACTTTTCCCCCTCGTTTCGTTTCCGCCAGTGCCCCGCCTTGTTCGGGGTCCACCCGTCATCACGTCACCCATTTTCCGTCAGTCCCGCCCGCCGAGCCGACTGATTTGAACCTCACCTTCTGGTGCCTCTCGCTCCCCCTTCCGTCCCCGCTTGTGGATTGCTTCTGCTGACTGGTCAGGGCCCAGTTTGGCAGGCATCAAGGCCGGGTTTGGCAGGCATAAGAAAAACGGGGGAGGGGAATGGGCTACAGTGAACCGACCACCCTGGAACCTTCCTTGATAAGCGTGTGAAAGGTTTTCAAGGTTCGATATAAGCGGACTACGCCGAACCTGACAATAAATGGTATGCCAACCAAACACCCCTTTTTTTGCAGGCGTTTTCAACCGCCAGAATCTACACCCGACCCAGTTTCTCTGGCAAAGTGCCCATTTTCTCTTTCCCCGCACCATGCGGCCTCAAGGCCCCGCACCACGCGGGGCATCAGTGATCGGGGCAATTAAAAGTGACTGGTCAAATATGCCAGCCAATCACATGATCACCCGATCCATCGAGGCAACTGCCTACAATGTCCTGCGAAACCCTACATGCCATCAATCTACACCCAATTAATGCCAGACGAACACTCAACCCATTTTTCCGAAGGTGTCCTGCAGCTGCAGACCGATTTCGAAGCTGTTTCTAGAAAAGCCCGGGCAGCATTTTTTGGGGGCCCGTTAAAAATGCCCATAATGGCCATAATGGCCATGATGCCTGCCAAACAGAGCCCAGGTCAGGCCCATCCCCAATCCGTTGGGCCCGAACTTAACCGCACGGAACCGAAACCGTGCCGTGCCGTTGCAGTTGGCTTGCCTGCTGCTTCAGTTTGCTTTGGGATCTTCTGGTCTGGTTCTGCTCACAGCCGTCCTTCAGAGCAGTATGCTCTGAGCCCACTTCCCCAAGAGCTGCCGCTTACACATCCAGAAGTCGTAACGTCAGGGAGTGAAGACTTTGAGGGCTACGAGCAGAGAGCGATGCTGGCGACTATCCCTGGAGCCGCACCCCTCTCTTCCGATCCGCTCCTCTCCGCATCCATCGCTACCTCCGCCTCCCACGCGTCAACCCATCCCGTCCTGATCTCTGTCTCTCTTATTCCAGTTGCGTATCCTTCCTCTTGCTCTTCCCATCGCCCTCCGCTTGATTGTGCAACGAGCAGCTCCAGTTTCTCCTCTTCTCGCTCCCATTTCGTAGTCGCATCCCAGCCGCACGATCAGCCATCTCCTTCTGTTTGGCGGTCGCCGCCATCGATACGCTCTGTACCATCTGACGGACCTTTGTCCATGCACCCACGTGCCGGACAAGTCGCCTCGCTGCAGCTTCACTCCGAACCCATTGAGCCAAAAGAAATACATCAGGATAGGGTAGGGCTAGGACCAGGACCAGCATCAGATTCAAGAAGTAGTAATCAAGAATCATATGACCCGCCGCGCTCTTGTTCTGGACGTATGGCTCCCCTCTCCGCATCCCCAGCTGCGGTTCCAGTGTCGTCTGACTGTCCACCATTATCCGCATCTGGACCTCCCCAAGCTGACGCCGCCGCGTCAGAACCCGTTCCCAGCATTAAGGACGGATTAGTCCACAGCGGGTCGTCGTTACCCAAAACCGCTCCCACGTTTTCCGCAATGCCGTATCTCCCCCCGCGCCGATCCGCTGCTTCCGCCGGGCGCTCCGCCGACTCCACGAAACCGTCTCCTTCTACCGACTCTTCCCTCTCGGGATCGTCGCGGAGCGACAGTATAGCACCTGGAGAGATCGACTACTCGCAGCTGCCGTCAGATCTGGACCCGAGCCGGCTGCCGAGACACGTGGCGATTATCCTGGATGGGAACTCGCGATGGGCTGCGCGCAAGGGGATGCCTAAGATGGTGGGGCACGATGCGGGGGTTAAATCCAACAGGGAGATCGTGCGGCTGTGCGGGGAGTGGGGAATCCGCGCGCTCACCGTGTTCGCGTTTTCGACGGAGAATTGGGGACGGCCTAAGGTACGCACGTAGCAGATAAACCAGTTTCCTGGTGTGACCTGTACGGATGTGGAATGTGGCGAAGCCATGTAGCCAGGTGGGGTTGTGACGTGTGATGTGCACATGTGCGGATTGCAAACTACAGTCGAGCTGACCGTGGCCTGAAGCTATGTTTTTGACTTGTCTCTTTGCGTTCCGTCTCTGCTATCGCGACGCCGGTGATGATTCTAGCCGAATTTGTCTTCTCAAATCACTTGAAGCACCAAAATGGGAAGAACATTTTATGTGTTTCTTCTATGGTGTGGTTTCCGCTCACCTCCTCTCACCCTCCGTCCCTCCATTTCCTTCCTCCACTTCCTTTATAGCACCTGCCGTTGAGCCCCTTTATTGTCCCCGCATTTCATCCCTGTCGTCTCCCTCTGTACCACACACCCGTCTTCTCTGCAACTTCCAATGAATGATTCAGGTCCTACAATAGAGAAGCCCTGCTTACAATGAGAAATGAATCTTAATGCAGGCCGTTGTGCTTGCTGCCCCTACCTGTCTCACTCCTCACCTCCACTGCTTTACTCGTTTGCCTGCCCTCTTGGTGCCTTGCCCATGTGGGATATGTGGGGGCAATGGACGGGTGCCTTTTCCATGTGGGATATGTGGGGGGAATGGACGGGGATGAATGCATGCATGAGCAGGAGGAGGTGGACTTTCTCATGGAGTTGTTGGGCACGTTTCTTGAAAGCGAGCTGGATGAACTGCACAGGTATGCCCACAATTATAACCTTTTTCTCTCATCACCCGTGCCTCTATTCGTTTTTCCTTCTTCTTTCCCATTGCAGTGCAGCCTATCCCGCTTCTCTATTGAGTGAAGTTTGCTTGCAAGAACGTTCGGAGCTACACTTGCTCTGTCACAAACATTAGGCAAATGAAGCATAAAAAAAAAAATTTCCAGCCCACATTCACTGCTGCTCCATTTTGTCCTCTCAGGCAACGGGTGGCAGTGCGTGTGATTGGCGATTCATCACGTCTTAGCCCTGAGCTGCAACGCAAGATAGAAAAGGCACGCGTCCACACACAGGATAATGACGGGTTGCGTTATAGCATAGCAGTGAGCTACAGTGGCCGTCAAGATATAGTGCAGGCATGCAGGAGAGTTGCAGAGCTAGTATCAGCTGGTAAGCTTCAACCCGATCAAGTTTCAGAAGCCATTCTAGAACAAGAGCTTGCGACGAGTTGGCTCGGACCGGACCTGGCAAATCCTGACCTGCTGATTCGGACGAGTGGGGAGCTGCGGCTGAGCAACTTTCTGCTGTGGCAGTCGGCTTACACGGAGCTGCATTTCTGTGACACTCTCTGGCCTGACTTTGGCGCGCCCCACCTGCATGCTGCTCTCCTTGACTACCAGCGACGAGACCGACGCTTTGGAAGGCGGAAAGAGTCTAGCTAAGTGTTGAAGTAACATCCAAGGCTGATAGTGTGGATGGGTGATTCAATCTCAGTGTGCCTAACTCAAATTAGCTTGTTTCCACTGGTAATTCTCAATTGAATTTTGTCCTTGTCTAGCATATGTAGTTCGTGTTATGGTTTCAGTGTGAACGGCACCAGCCTTACGAAGCCTACAGTCTGTGACGAAGTGCCAAGATTTGAAGCGATCTTCTGTTGCTAGCGGTGCCAGTGACGGCTCTTCCAACCCAGGGAAAGGTGCCCCTCCCTCCTTTGTAGGCACCTGACCCAGGGCCCTTCTTTGGGCAGCCCGGCCAAACCCGTAATATTTGAGGTTATTTAAAACGAAAAGAGAGGCCTGCTTCCAACGAATCGTAGAGCTCCGTTCGGTCGGTTGCTGTGTCAAGCACAGAGCGATGAAACCGTCCCCCCACAGAAATCCTTGGAGGGAAATCCTGTCATCCCAGTTCGATTCCCTGAAAGCCCTTCCCTCCTCCCTCTTCCCCATCCACACTTGCAGTAGAACTGTAGACTCATCAAATGCTACAGTGTAGCGGGTTCAGCAGCGCGCTTCGATAAGGCCAGCTCCCCCCCCCCCCCAATCCCGCGAGGCAGTTTCACTTGCGACACGATAGACAGTGAAAAGCGGAGCGGAGGAAATGGGGGAAGTGAGGGACGGAGAGCAGGCGATGACGTGCCGCTAGGCTGAGAAGACTAGCCTCCCCGGGACAAATGCCGTGCCGTTCCGCCGTTCCGTGGAGATGCTCCCCATTCCATTCCAACTTCCGACTAACCTCTCCACTATACCCGCTTTCTTCGTGTCCTACGTCGGGATTAATTGCTGAAAGCTTTCAAGGTTCAAAAGGGACGTCGATAAACGCTAGTTCGAGTGGACTGAACGGCAGACGGCGGTGCTATTGTTTGCGAACATGACTCCTCTCTCTGCATCCGCGTCCGCCTTTCGCGGCCCGTCAGACTTCCCTCAGTTGTCTTCATCGGGCGTGCCGTCGACCGCTGTCGGAGCCTTGTCAGAACCCGTTTCGGAGCTGTCCGATGCGCTGCACACTGTTCTTGCGAACGGATTTGTCCACAGCGCGCGGCCGTCAAAACCAGAAGCTCCTGAAACGCTACTACCCGCAATGCCTTACCTTCCCCCGCGCGATTCCATCGCTTCCGCTGGTGTAGCACAACCCCGCAATTCCGCTGCAAAGGCGTCCCCCTCCGCTACCACCGACTGTTCCCCGTCGACACCCCCGACGAGCAAGAACGTTTCCGGACCAAACGAGATCGACTACTCTCAGCTGCCGCCGGATCTGGACCCGAGCCGGCTACCACGCCACGTGGCAATCATCCTGGATGGGAACTCGCGGTGGGCGACGCGCAAGGGGATGCCGAAGGAGTTGGGACACCTGGGGGGAGTGAGTTCGCTAAGCGACGCTGTGCGACGATGCAGCGACTGGGGCATTCGCGCGCTCACCGTGTTCGCATTCTCCACCGAGAATTGGAGCCGGCCCGAGGTAGTACTAGGTTTCAAAAAAGATGATGGAAAATACTTAAGGTACTCATTACAGGATGGTGTGTCGCGTCGCACACATGTGCACTCATGGCAATGCGTTTATTGAACGTAGTAGTCGTTCTTCGTCGTCTTCTGTTGTAGGGCCTACTCTCACATCAATTTCCAGGGATTCGCCACTCGCAAGAACCGGATTTTAGGTTGAGGCCACTTGAGCATGGTTTGGTAGTGGTCGTCGGGACTTGGAGTGAGCTTCCAAAAACATTTCTTGCTCTCAGTGCTCGATAAAGAGTCTTTGATTGCTAAAACTCTGTCGAACAAGGATGGAAGATGGATTTTTGTACTCAAGATGCACCGTGGACCCATAGACGTTGGACAGTTTTAGATTCCAAGACTTCAATTCCTCTACTATACAATAATCCCTCCTCGCCTGTTCAATCTTTTTGTTCGCCTCTTTATCTTTTCCGACCATTATAATGCTCCGGCCCCTACCATCCTCAGCTCTGGGCCCCATCATTTACTCTTTTCTGCTTTCGGGCTTCTTGTTTGTCCGTGGTATCGGGGTGAGTGGGGAGGGAGGTGCATGAGCAGGCGGAGGTTAATTTCCTGATGTCCATGATGAGCAGGCTGCTGGTTGAGAAGCTGGATGAGCTGCACAGGTATGAGCCTTTTTAAATGTATCTTCTTTTCTTTCAGGCATCGCCATTATGTCTGATCTGCCGCCTTCTTTTGGTGCTGCAACTGAAGCTAGGGATTTCCAGAATCAGCGGTTTCGCAAGAGCTACAGGGGGCTCCACTGGGCGTGTGCCAGGCCCTCCGAACCCAGTTCTTTCCAATATGCCCGAAATCTGCATCCCTTCCCTTCCATTGCATACCCTCTTCTTGATGTTCTGGACTCAGTCAAGGGGCAGTGGTGCGCTTCTTAGGCAACGTATCAGAACTCGACGCTGAGCTGCAGCATAGAATCCAAGTTCTTCAAGACACAACACGGGACAACCAGGGACTGCACTTTTCCGTCTCCCTGAACTACAGTGGCCGTCAGGACATAGTGCATGCATGCCAGCGAATAGCAGAGCGAGTGGCAGCTGGTGAGCTTCAACCTGAGCAGATATCAGAGTCTTCAGTGAGCAAAGAGCTTGCAACGAGTTGGCTCGGGCCGGACCTGGCAAATCCTGACTTGTTGATTCGGACGAGTGGGGAGCTGCGGCTGAGCAACTTTCTGCTGTGGCAGTCGGCTTACACGGAGCTGCACTTCTGCGACACTCTCTGGCCCGACTTTGGCGCGCCCCACCTGCATGCTGCTCTCCTTGACTACCAGCGACGAGACCGACGCTTCGGTAGGCGGAAAGTGTCCAGCTGATTAGGTGGAGTAAGTACGCGAGGTATTTTTTGTTGCTACTTGATGCTGTCATCCGTGATTTACATCTACATATGCTACTAACAGCACTATTGGGGATCTGTACTGTATAGTGCTAACAAACTTCAATGCTCGATATAGCAAGCTTCATTTCGTGTACATGTGGTAATGGCGTGTCTCATTTCAAAAGGGCGTCTTGTAGGTTTTAGAGATGGAAACCCGTTGGTTTCTTATCTCATATTGTCATGTCACTCCACATTTTCCCACAAATGAGCTCCCGAAATCGAGTGTGGAGGCTCCTATCCAAACCAAAGGTGCCAACTATGTCAATCATTGTTAGGAACGAGAATTTTGCATTATTTGAGTCACCATACCAACGGATCCGCCATCGTACATACAAAAAAGGTATGCTCTAGTATGGTACTGGTATAAATGGTTTTATCAGCCATATTCTGCATGAGCACAAATGCATGTGGGGAACCTGCAGTGTGCCTCCCAAGGATATCAATACTATTTTATGAGGGATGAAATCGTTGTAGCTACCAGTGTACTAATTTGTCAAAACAACAGTAAATACACGTGTCAGTCAGCATTCCGGATTTTGCGTCAGTTCGGGGTCAGAGAAACGCGAGGAGTTTGGTCGTTAATTTATATGTGCTACTTTTTTTGTGATAAAATTGACCGAGCAGGCGACTGCAAGGTGGAATGATGTGCTGCAGCTAAAGATGGACGGCGTGGTCTCACCACATGCCGGGGTACGAACAAGGTAGCCGTTCAGGTCCATTCGTTTTTATGGGTGTTGACAGACGAAGACAAGATCGAGTAACCCTAGCACCCGTGACCCATCCGCAATCTTTTCTGAGTTGTCGAGACGCACGTGTGAAATTGGCTGCCCAATTGGTGTGCTTCCACATGCGTCCAATCCATCTTATTCGCCAAGGCTCCTGCGTTGTCACGCAATCACCAGTGAGGAGGACCTGACCTGATTTTTCGTTCAGTTTCCACGTCGAGGCTGCATACGTGGGGCCAGAAATCAGAAAATCACTGGTTTCGAGGAGATAAGCTGCCACCGCGCGTGTGAAGATATTTTGTTCCAACAAGAAGGGTGACGGAATTCCGACCCATTGTATCCAGCAAAGCAGGGTCAACGGCGTCACTTGCTGTGCAGGGCAGGGGTTCCCAAAGCGTCGCGGCAATGAACAGGTTCGGCGGCGTCTGCTCCGTGCCTCTTTCCCCGTAGCGAAGTCGACGGCCCGGGTTGTCGCTAAACAGCTCTGCTTGGGATTCCTCCTGCATTTCATGCTACAGTATCCCCAGACCAGACCAGTGAAGGTTTGGTTGGGGTCAGACAAATGGCTCGGGTGTGTTTGTTGCCTTGGCTGCCCTGCCCGAGGCTGCGATGTTGATGGTTAGCCCTCACGTCATACCTAGTGGGTAGAAGCGCAACGCCACCATTTGCGCTGCTGCTCTGACTCCCATCATATTGCCACACAGCCTAGCGGCTGTCAGTAAATCGCCGTCCGACTTGCAGTTGGTTTACGTTCTCGCTGGTCCTGTGAAATCTATCTCCATCAGCGTTGACTCTTCTCGCACATTCGCAAGCAAACCTTCACTCATCTGCTTTTCTCCTCCGATTCATCCGCTTCCTTCACTGCCTGTCAAATCTCTCGTTGATTGTGGAATCGTGCACGACCGTCGCGATGGCTGCAATAATAGAGGCGTCGCTTGCCGCAACAACCCTGTCCGCCATCGCCCGCCCGCCACTCTCCTCCAGCTTCATCCCTGCGGAACGCACGGCGTCGCTGCCGTCCCTCACCACCGCGCTCCGCGCTAGCCGATTCAGCAAACGCACCCACGCCATCGCCGTGCGTCCCGCTGCAACCTCCTCCTCTTCCTCCTCCTCTTCGTCGTCCCACCCTCAAAAGGCGTACTCGTACGCGTATTCCGAAGCCCCAACGGCCTCCTCTTCCCTGGGCTCATCGCTGTACGAGGAATCCACATCGGATTTGTCGGACGAAGACTCGTCCGAGGAGGGCGCGCGCAAGGACTTGATGCACGAGGCGGTGCGGCGCCTCGCGGACACGGACGTGGCGGAAGCCGCCGCGAAGTACGGTCTGGAGGACGAGCTGTTCGGGGAGATCGACTTCGCGCGGGTGGGTTACCGTGTTGATTCGTTGAATCTTGTCACTCCAACAGATGCATACTCATGCCTTGAACTCTCGGTATCTTGAAAGCCGATGAGAAGGATCCAAGAGGATAACGTGAGCAGACGGAGAAGACGCCGGAAATCATCAGATCGCGCTGAGCATGTACACAATCGTATCATAACGTGCCTACTTCTGTGCAAAGCTCAACCTCGTGCCCTCCTCCTCCTCCTCCTCCTCCTCCTCCTCCTCCTCCTCCTCCTCCTCCTCCTCCTCCTCCTCCTCCTCCTCCTCCTCCTCCTCCTCCTCCTCCTCCTCCTCCTCCTGCTCCTCCTGCTCCTCCTGCTCCTCCTGCTCTTGCTCCTTCTCGTCTCCCTCCCAACAGATCAGCTCCTTCACCAAGGATCCGTTCGGCGGCAACCCCGCGGCGGTGTGCTATCTGCCGTACCACCCGTCCGACGAGTGGCTTCAGAAGGTCGCGGCGGAGTTCAACCTCTCCGAAACCGCCTTCCTCGTGCGCCGCCGCGCCAGCTCCCCGCCGCCCCCGCCCGGGCTGGACGATGAGTGGCCCGAGCAGCAGCGGCAGTCGCTCGTCGCGGCGGACGAGCGCGGCGCGCTGCGGTCCGTTAAGGTGGCGCCGCCGGTTAACGAGTTCGACTTGCGCTGGTTCACTCCCACGGTCGAGGTGAGTCGGGTTGGGTCGGGGGGCGAACGCGACGCCATGGGGAAGAGGCGGGAGGAATGGAAGGGAAAGGAAGGAAGGGGATGTTCCTTGATACGTGGTCAGCTCCTGCGGCGTACGTCGTGCGTGGTGCCACGTGTGCTCCAACACTTACCCCAGCACTCATCCCTCTCCTTTCGACGTCTTCGCGTCTCCCCTCCCCCCCCCCATTTCCCAGGTGCGTCTGTGCGGGCACGCGACGCTAGCGGCGGCGCATCTGCTCTTCTCGTCGGGCCTCGTCGACTCGGACGAGGTCGTCTTCCACACGCGCTCCGGCCGCCTCGCCGCGCGCCTCGTCCCCGAGCACGAGGCGCACCTCGGCGGGCGGGAGAAGAAGCCGCACTCGAACCGCCGGCACAAGCGGCGCGAGTGGGAGGAGGAGGAGGAGGAGGGCGAGCGGGTCGGCGTGGGCGGACGGCGGCGGCCGAGCGGGAAGGCGATCGTGGAGCTAGACATGCCGCTGGCGGCGGCGTCCGCGCTTCCGCTGGACGAGTGGGCGGCGGTGGAGGAGGCGATCGGCGTGCCGGCCGGTACCGCTCTCTTCGTGGGGCGCAGCAAGCTGCACGATATCATGGTGAGTCGCTCGGCGCGCTGTGGGAAAGGACTGCGCGGAAGGCGCTGGATCGAGGCTATGGTTCTATGTGCACTTTGATACAATGAAAATGAATTGCATAACGGTATGATCTATTCATGGACATACGTGTTTGTTCTTATATAGGGGCGATCACGAGCCCGCTCCCATGCTCCTTCCGCATTCCCACTCTGTCCGCACCGCACCTGCCTCTTACCCTCGAATACTAACCTTCCTTTCCATCCAACCGCTCCTCGCTTCTCGTCCTTCCCCCTTCCCTTGCCCCTCCTTCCCCTTCCTCGTCCCCCGCTTCTCCCCGCCGCGACAACCCGGCAACCCGTGCAGGTGCACGTGCCGCAGACGACGACGGTATTGGAGCTGGACCCGTCTCTTAAGAAGATCGCGGTGCTGCCGTGCCGCGGCGTGATCGTGACGGCGGCCGCCAGCCACGTGGACGCCGACATCAAGGCGGCGGGCGGCAGGGCGGCGGCGCTGGACCCCAACATCGACTTCGTGTCGCGCTACTTCGCGCCGCAGTCCGGCATTGACGAGGTGCGCACGCCGCCAAGGCGGAAGGGGAATGCGTGAGGGCGGGTCGCAGGGAGGGAGCGCAGAGGGAACGGGGGTTGGGGGGGGGAGGGGGAGGGGTCTGGGAAGGGGGTTGGGGGTGTGAGGGGCTTGGGCGCGGGTGCCTATCAGTTGCTTGACTCGCTGCTTTCTGCAAGCCACTCTTCTCTTCTTAACTAGCTGCTCTCTCGCACAAGCACCCACGTCACAATCGACTGACCTGCCATGTTATCCCCCCGTCCCCCTTACCCCGTCCCCCGTGCCCCGTGCCCCGTGCCATGCGCCATCAGGACCCGGTGACGGGCAGCTCGTTCTGCACGCTCGGCCCCTACTGGTCGGAGGTGCTCGGGCACAAGCAGCTGCTCGGATACCAGGTGCGCGCCACATGGAGTTGCGCTCGTGCGGTTGAAGTAGTGATGTGTCCTCCCCGCGTGTGCTTGCTTTTGAATCTCTTTTCCTGTCCTTGCTCTCCAAGGATACCGGGCTACCTGTTTCGTTCTGTCCCTCCTCGCCGCATTTGTTGATGGGGCTCCCCGCTCCCCCTTCCTCTGTCATCTTCTTCTTTTGTGCGTGGCAGGCGTCCTCACGGGGAGGCATGGTGGCGGTGAGGGTGGATGAGGCGCACGGCAGGGCGTTCCTGCAGGGGTGGGCCGTGCTGGTCATGGCGGGAGTGGTCATGAACACCGCATCCCCCGCCATCACGCACCCCGCCACCTCGTAAACCGCGTGCACACTCGCTCACACCAGTGCTTGGGCGCTGCCACGTCAGAGGGCTCGCTGACAACCGTGGCTGCATGCGTGCTCTGCGGTATCGGGCTTTTGTTTTTTTTTCTATGGCCGTTGTTGCCTCAGAGATGACACTAAAGTGTTTTAAAATGGCGTGTTAGTATGCAACAGGTGCAAGCATGACTATTGGGTTGGGTGGTGGAAGAGGTACGGTAGGTGAGACAACTATACGGGCTAGTAGTGTGAGTCCTGGTAGGTATAGTGTCCGCTGTTTTGTGGATTGCATCACTTGGGTTGTGTTTTGTGCAGATATTTTATTACGGTACCAGTATTGAAATTGGTTACCACGGGAGCTTGGGTCCGCTCGCACTCTGTAGATTGTTGCTTCTATTGCAGGGCCAGACCGGTAGTACCGTTTAAGGCAATCAAAGTTCACCACAAAAGTCCTGGAAAGCAATCGTTGGGCAGATAGCAATGCGTTGACTACTGTTCAGGGTCACAGGGTCACAGGTCCGTTTTAGGCAGAGGCTTATACCGTAACTCAACGCAAGCAGTGTGTGAATTCTTCAGCTGTTGGTGCTTGAAGGGATCCAAGTGCCACAGCAAACAAAAGGCATGCCGCCAACCAACCAACCAACCCATTCAGAAACAGCGGGGCCACTGATTTCGCTTGGGATTCAGAACCGTCAAGCACTAAAACACACACATTCTCATCTCACTAGCAACTCAGCAGCACACCAAATGCTAGCACCGTGCACCGCTATTCCTCCTCATCATCTCCAAATGTGAAGAGCGAAGCATCGGCAGCACTGGCAGCAGCAAGAGCGAAGTCAGAGGACGGACCAAAGAAGAACTCCTCGCTCTTGGACACCTCTGCTGCTGGCGCAGCGGCCTCAAACGTGGGCAACGCATCAATCGAATCATTCCCCACCACCCGCACTGCTCCCGCTGCTCCTGCTGCTGCTGACTTCGATGCTGGTGATGACCCCTTGGCGTCAAGTGCTGCTGGTGATGGTACAGAGGTGGCTGATAGCAGGGATGGGGTGGCTCTTGGGGGTGTGGCTGTGGGGTTTGATGGGTCAGTTGTTGAAGAGGGTGCCAAAGGGGGTTTAGCTGCTGCTGCTGATGATGATGACGCGGATGAATGCTCCTCTAGATAACCTGGCAGGGGAGGAGAAGGGACGAGAGAGGAGTTCGTGTTGAAGCAAGAAGGAAGGAAGAATGGAATACTAGAAGCACGAAGGGGAGACGAGGGAGACAGGAAGCGGACTAGAGGTGGTGCGTTGGCTTACTGAATGCATCTTTGAAGGAGCTCCTGGGAGCGATGCTGCGTGGTGATGCTGCTGAGAACGCGGGCACTTGCTGCCTCTTGTTCCTCCCCTGCCCCGCACCCTCCTCATCGTGCTCCACCTGCTCCTCATCACCAGCATCTCGATCATCGTCGTCATCGTCGTCCTTCATAAAGTCTAGTTTCATGGTGATCGACAGAGACTCATCACCACCACTGCTGCTGCTCCCCTTCTCTGTGCCCACACCGACCTGCCCGGCGCTGCTCTTAACAACGCCACCTCCACCTCCCCTTGCCTCGCCTGCCCCCGCTGCTAACCCTCTCGCCTCCCCACCATGAACACGAGCACTACTATCACCACCGGCACCAGCAGCGGCAGCGGCAGCATGGCGAGCGTCTGCCTTTCTACTGGCGTCAGAGAGAGCGCCAGTGACCTCTTTCACAGACCAGCTGACAGCACTGGCCAGCATGCCCAGTGCCTCCACTGCCGCCACCGCCATCACCTCTGCCGCCTCCTCTGCCCCGCTCGCCGCACCACCACCACCTGCACTCACGCCCGCCCCCACTCCCTTTCCCATGCCTGTTCCCGAACCTGCTCCCGAACCTGCTCCCGAACCTGCTCCCGAACCTGCTCCCGAACCTGCTCCCGTACCTGTTCCCGCAGGTCTGGTACCTGTCCTTCCAGTCGTTCCTACCCCTGAGCCATCACCCATCGGACCAGCGGATCCCGTGGCAGCAACAGGTGCCGCATTGCTGTGCTCAGACACACCTGGCGCATCCCTGCACTTCACCTCTGTTCCATCTCCCTGCGAAGCTTCCCCACTGCCCCCTCCACCAGCCTCTCTCTCTCCACCTGAGCCTACCATGCTTCCACCAGCAGCTGCTATCTCGCTTCCCTCTTTGCTGCAGCGACTGCCAGCTGTGGCATCAAGGACCTTTGGAGCAGCAGCAGCAGTAGAACGACTACCATCCACACTCCTCGAACCATCACCAACCACCAACCCACCATTCTTCCTGTCTCCCTCCAATGCCCCATCCCCTGCCGCCTTCCCTCCCTTCCCGCCCTCTCCTTGCTGCTCTTCCATCTGACCTAACGAACCACTGCCCACGCTGCTATCCCCTGCTATCCGTCCATCTGCCCCTCTGCTACCACCACCATCACCCTCTCCTCCCTCTGCCGCACCTCCCTCCTTCAACCCCCTCTGACCACCTTCCACCAAAGCACCTTCCCCTGAAGCACCCTTGATCCCGTGGTCAAGGTTCGCACCCCCATCGGTGCTCCGGCTCTCTCGTCCCCTTTCCCCTTCGCGCTGTTCTCCACTCTGCTCTGAGCCAGCTGCATGATGCTCCGCCCGCTGCTGCTGTGCGCTCCGCTGTGTGCCTGGCTGTGGGCTCGGCTGTGTGCTCTGTGCTGTGCTGTGCGGCGTGCCTGGGGTGCTGTGCGCGCGGGGCGGGGGCAGGTCCGCTTCTGGCATGAGCAACAGCTCCACCACAAAGCCCGGTGACGCCAGGCGCCTCTGATGTGCTCACCATGCACCCCGCACATGGCGCACAGGGGGCGAGAAGGGGGATGGAGGGAGGGGATGAAGGAGGGGGGGAAAGAGTCAGCATGAGCAACAGCTCCACCACAAAGCCCAGTGACGCCAGGCGCCTCTGATGCACCCCCAACACATGGAGCACAGGGGGCCAGCGCAGGGGGAGAGGTTGAGGGGGGAAGAGGTAAGGTGAGAGGGTATGGCGGTGACAGAAGGCGAGTTTGGGAGAGGGAGGGGGAAAAGAAGATACAGAACTATGGTGAATAGAAGCAGCAAAGTGAGACGACATTGAAACAGCAAAGGGTAGGGGAAGGGGGCATGGTGAGGGATCGGGGAGAGAAGGGAAGAGCAGAGATGTCAAGTGGGGGCGAAAGGAAAGGTTCTCAAACGCAAGAACAGTGAGGTACTAAGAACAGCTGAAACTGCTTGCGGGAGAAGGGGAGAGAAGTGAGTAAGGTAGGTAAGGAGGGAATGTGAGGAAAAGGGGGGAAGATAGGTGGAAGGGGGTGGAGAAGGGGGTAAGGAGCGAGATAGGGCAACGGACCTTGTCAAATCCATCGAGATCTGTCGTCTTGAGCATGTGGTGTGACTGTGTGAAGCTTGTGTGCAGCCAACTGTGGTGAGCGGTGATGAGAGGTGGCGAGAGGTGATGGGAGGTGATGGAGATGACAAACGGGGTTGAGGGTAGGGGTGAAGAAGGATACATGGGGGGTATAGGAGGAGAGAGAGAAGGGGCGGGGGCGAGAGAGAGGGGAGGGAGTGGGGTGAGGCAGGGGACAGAAGCCAGGAGCGGTTTTTCAAAACTTAAATGAGTGCTGACAGTTCAGACAGAGCAGAGGGTGTAAGGAGTGCAGAGAGCACAGAGAGAGCAGAAGAAGGAGCGGACCATGAGAAGTCACCATAGGAGTCATGGAAGGTGATGCAGAAGTCGTCCTTGAGTGCACAGATGTAGCGCTCCCCTGGCAAGGCGAACAGCACCACGCCCTGCTTCTGCGACGCGTGCCATGCTTGCTCCGCCTGCACATGGGTGGGTGAATAGGTGCATGCGAGCATAGAAGCATAGAAGCATAGGAGCATATGAGCATATGAGCATATGAGCATATGAGCATATGAGCATATGAGCATATGAGCATAGGAGCATAGGAGCATAGGAGCAGTGGAGAAGGGAAAGGGGAGGCGATGGTGGCTCACCGACAGATGGGACGTTCTGGGATGAGTGCGAGATGAGAAGAGGACTCCTGCACATGCATGCGCAGTGGTGTGCATGGAGGCATATGCATGAGCAATAGTGCCAGCAGACACACAGGCCAGTGAGTTATCCAGATGATTCCCATTGCAAGAGGGGCGTGGTGAGATGTCAATACAGTGGGTGGCAGGGGAGAAGCTGAGAGAGCAGCAGGTGGTGACACTGGGAGTAGAGGCAGTAGTGGAAGCAGTAACATAGTAGCGACACTACTAGTAGTGGCACTGGTGCGGTGTGGTGTGTTGCAAACGGGGCTGTGATTGCGATGAGAGGCGAGGGTGTGAGGTGTGAGGTGCGAGGCGGGCAGGGAGCAAGGGAGCACCTGAGGGGGAGGAGACGGTGATGAATGGTCGGATCCAGTAGGGGCAGCGGTGCAGGCGAATGCCCCTCAGCACCAGTGGGCTGCTCACAACACAGAGCAAGGGGCAAGGGGCAAGGGGCAAGGAGCAAGGGGCAAGGGGCAAGGGGATGACACGCATGGGAGATGAACGAGAGATCACAGTTGTGCTCTTGGGACAGCAGAGAGGTGGTGTGGGGGAAGTGGGAAGGCTTGAAGAAGAGGGAGGGGAAGGAGGAGGCGTACCGTTGGGGGGGCAGTGAGGGCACTGGGGCAGAAGTGGCGCGCAGTAAGGCTTCATAGTATGCCACATGGCGCTGATGGTGTGCGGTGGGGGGGAGAGGGGGAGGCAAGGAAGGAGGGAGGGAGGAGGCAAGGTAAGTCAGAATGGAAGGGGCAACTGAGAGGAGGACATGAGAGGCGGAAGAGTTGAGCAGCGCAACAAAGTTGAAATCGGTTGAGTGCATGGGGGCGAGTGCATGGGGCCGAATGTATGCATGGGGGTGAGTGCATGGGGGTGAGTGTATGCATGGGGGCGAGTGCATGGGGGTGAGTGCATGGGGGCGAGTGCATGGGGGTGAGTGCATGGGGGCGAGTGCATGGGGGTGAGTGTATGCATGGGGGTGAGTGCATGGGGGTGAGTGCATGGGGTTGAGTGCATGGGGGCGAGTGTATGCATGGGGGCGAGTGTATGCATGGGGGCGAGTGCATGGGGGCGAGTGCATGGGGGTGAGTGCATGGGGGCGAGTGCATGGGGGCGAGTGTATGGGGGTGAGTGTATGGGGGTGAGTGTACGGGGGTGAGGGCATGGGGGTGAGTGTATGCATGGGGGCGAGTGCATGGGGGTGAGTGCATGGGGGCGAGTGCATGGGGGTGAGTGCATGGGGGTGAGTGCATGGGGGCGAGTGCATGGAGGTTAGTGCATGGGGGTGAGTGCATGGGGGCGAGTGTATGCATGGGGGCGAGTGTATGCATGGGGGTGAGTGCAGGGGGTGAGTGCATTGGGGCGAGTGCATGGGGGTGAGTGTATGGGGGAGAGTGCATGGGGGTGAGTGCATGGGGGTGAGTGTATGCATGGGGGCGAGTGCATGGGGGTGAGTGCATGGGGGCGAGTGCATGGGGGTGAGTGCATGGGGGCGAGTGCATGGGGGTGAGTGTATGCATGGGGGTGAGTGCATGGGGGTGAGTGCATGGGGTTGAGTGCATGGGGGCGAGTGTATGCATGGGGGCGAGTGTATGCATGGGGGCGAGTGCATGGGGGCGAGTGCATGGGGGTGAGTGCATGGGGGCGAGTGCATGGGGGCGAGTGTATGGGGGTGAGTGTATGGGGGTGAGTGTACGGGGGTGAGGGCATGGGGGTGAGTGTATGCATGGGGGCGAGTGCATGGGGGTGAGTGCATGGGGGCGAGTGCATGGGGGTGAGTGCATGGGGGTGAGTGCATGGGGGCGAGTGCATGGAGGTTAGTGCATGGGGGTGAGTGCATGGGGGCGAGTGTATGCATGGGGGCGAGTGTATGCATGGGGGTGAGTGCAGGGGGTGAGTGCATTGGGGCGAGTGCATGGGGGTGAGTGTATGGGGGAGAGTGCATGGGGGTGAGTGCATGGGGGTGAGTGTATGCATGGGGGCGAGTGCATGGGGGTGAGTGCATGGGGGTGAGTGCATGGGGGCGAGTGCATGGGGGCGAGTTTATGCATGGGGGCGAGTGCATGGGGGTGAGTGCATGGGGGCGAGTGTATGCATGGGGGCGAGTGCATGGGGGTGAGTGCATGGGGGCGAGTGCATGGGGGTGAGTGCATGGGGGCGAGTGCATGGGGGCTAGTGTATGGGGGTGAGTGTATGGGGGTGAGGGCATGGGGGTGAGTGTATGCATGGGGGCGAGTGCATGGGGGTGAGTGCATGGGGGCGAGTGCATGGGGGCGAGTGTATGCATGGGGGCGAGTGCATGGGGGTGAGTGCATGGGGGCGAGTGCATGGGGGTGAGTGCATGGGGGCGAGTGCATGGGGGCTAGTGTATGGGGGTGAGTGTATGGGGGTGAGGGCATGGGGGTGAGTGTATGCATGGGGGCGAGTGCATGGGGGTGAGTGCATGGGGGCGAGTGCATGGGGGCGAGTGTATGCATGGGGGCGAGTGCATGGGGGTGAGTGCAAGGGGGCGAGTGCATGGGGGTGAGTGCATGGGGGCGAGTGCATGGGGGCGAGTGTATGCATGGGGGCGAGTGCATGGGGGTGAGTGTATGCATGGGGGCGAGTGCATGGGGGTGAGTGCATGGGGGTGAGTGCATGGGGGTGAGTGCATGGGGGCGAGTGTATGCATGGGGGCGAGTGCATGGGGGTGAGTGCATGGGGGCGAGTTTATGCATGGGGGCGAGTGTATGCATGGGGGTGAGTGCATGGGGGTGAGTGCATGGGGGTGAGTGCATGGGGGCGAGTGCATGGGGGCGAGTGCATGGGGGTGAGTGCATGGGGGTGAGTGCATGGGGGCGAGTGCATGGGGGTGAGTGCATGGGGGCGAGTGTATGCATGGGGGCGAGTGCATGGGGGTGAGTGCATGGGGGCGAGTGTATGCATGGGGGCGAGTGTATGCATGGGGGTGAGTGCATGGGGGTGAGTGCATGGGGGTGAGTGCATGGGGGCGAGTGCATGGGGGCGAGTGCATGGGGGTGAGTGCATGCGGGTGAGTGCATGGGGGCGAGTGTATGCATGGGGGCGAGTGCATGGGGGTGAGTGCATGGGGGCGAGTGTATGCATGGGGGTGAGTGCATGGGGGTGAGTGCATGGGGGTGAGTGCATGGGGGTGAGTGCATGGGGGTGAGTGCATGGGGGTGAGTGCATGGGGGTGAGTGCATGGGGGCGAGTGCATGCATGGGGGCGAGTGCATGCATGGGGGTGAGTGCATGGGGGTGAGTGCATGGGGGTGAGTGTATGCATGGGGGCGAGTGTATGCATGGGGGTGAGTGCATGGGGGTGAGTGCATGGGGGTGAGTGCATGGGGGCGAGTGCATGGGGGTGAGTGCATGGGGGTGAGTGCATGGGGGTGAGTGTATGTATGCATGGGGGCGAGTGTATGCATGGGGGTGAGTGCATGGGGGTGAGTGCATGGGGGTGAGTGCATGGGGGTGAGTGCATGGGGGTGAGTGCATGGGGGTGAGTGCATGGGGGCGAGTGCATGGGGGTGAGTGCATGGGGGTGAGTGCATGGTGGTGAGTGCATGCATGGGGGCGAGTGCATGGGGGTGAGTGCATGGGGGCGAGTGTATGCATGGGGGCGAGTGCATGGGGGTGAGTGTATGGTGGTGAGTGCATGGGGGTGAGTGCATGGGGGCGAGTGCATGGGGGTGAGTGCATGGGGGCGAGTGTATGCATGGGGGCGAGTGCATGGGGGTGAGTGTATGGGGGTGAGTGCATGCATGGGGGCGAGTGCATGGGGGTGAGTGCATGGGGGCGAGTGTATGCATGGGGGTGAGTGTATGCATGGGGGCGAGTGCATGGGGGTGAGTGCATGGGGGCGAGTGCATGGGGGTGAGTGTATGCATGGGGGCGAGTGCATGGGGGTGAGTGCATGGGGGCGAGTGCATGGGGGTGAGTGCATGGGGGCGAGTGCATGGGGGCGAGTGTATGCATGGGGGTGAGTGCATGGGGGTGAGTGCATGGGGGTGAGTGCATGGGGGTGAGTGCATGGGGGCGAGTGTATGCATGGGGGCGAGTGTATGCATGGGGGTGAGTGCATGGGGGCGAGTGCATGGGGGCGAGTGTATGCATGGGGGTGAGTGCATGGGGGTGAGTGCATGGGGGCGAGTGCATGGGGGTGAGTGCATGGGGGCGAGTGTATGCATGGGGGCGAGTGTATGCATGGGGGTGAGTGCATGGGGGCGAGTGCATGGGGGCGAGTGTATGCATGGGGGTGAGTGCATGGGGGTGAGTGCATGGGGGCGAGTGCATGGGGGCGAGTCCATGGGGGTGAGTGTATGGGGGCGAGGGCATGGGGCGAAGGCATGGGGGCGAAGGCATGGGGGTGAAGGCATGGGGGTGAAGGCATGGGGGTGAAGGCATGGGGGTGAAGGCATGGGGGTGAAGGCATGGGGGTGAAGGCATGGGGGTGAAGGAATGGGGGTGAAGGCATGGGGGTGAAGGCATGGGGGTGAAGGCATGGGGGTGAAGGCATGGGGGTGAAGGCATGGGGGTGAAGGCATGGGGGTGAAGGCATGGGGGTGAAGGCATGGGGGTGAAGGCATGGGGGTGAAGGCATGGACGGGGTGTGGTGGCACAAGCTGCAAAGCACGGAGGGAAGGGATACACAAAGGGGTCGAGTTGAGCGGGGGAAGAGGGGGAAGAGGGGGAAGAGGGGGAAGAGGGGGAAGAGGGGGAAGAGGGGGAAGAGGGGGAAGAGGGGGAAGAGGGGGAAGAGGGGGAAGAGGGGGAAGAGGGGGAAGAGGGGGAAGAGGGGGGAGAGGGGGAAGGAAGCACCTGTTGGCTGGGCGAGGTGAGCGCCTTGCCATCCACACTCCTCTTGTCCCGGAACAATGCTATGGCCTCCGCTGCTGTGCTGCACACCTGGTGCCACCCGCCCCATCCCATGCAACGGGGAGTGAAGGCGTGGGGGAAGTGTGGAGGAGGGGGGGGAGTGAGGGAGCGGGGGGAGTGAGGGAGTTGCAGGGGAAAGCGAGGGCGCGGGAGGCGTGGCGGAAAACTGTGCGCTTGCAGAAGTGCATACAGGGAATCAATGCAGCTCAAATCCACAACACACAAACCCATGCTAGGCTTGCCCCATCCCTTTCCGCTCTGCACCTCTGAGGCTCTTCCCCCCCGCCAGGAGCCCACCTTGAGAGCGAGCAGCAGGCATGCCACGACAAGGCCTGTGCGCCCCATGCCCGCCTTGCAGTGCACCACCACCACATTGCCACCCCCGCTGCTCATGCTGCCATCGCCGCTTTTGCTGCTGCTGCCGGTGCTGCCTGCCTGCCCTGCTTGCGCGCCCTCCCCCCCTGCAGCTGCCCCTGTGCTGCTCCCAGACCCCCGTCTCCCCCCTCCAGCGAGCCAGCCCTTGGCGCTCTCACAGAGGGCGAGTGTGAGGGCGAGGGGCGGGCACGTGCCGTCGTCAAAGGGGAAGCACGCTACCTGCGGCGTGAAACAGGGTCAAGGAGAACACAGCACATTAGCTGGAGTGCATGACCAGAAGGCGACTGGTTGGGTCTGAATACAAGGTGCAACAAGTTGCATGTGCCCATGCACTCAGCTAATTCACGCAAATAAACCTGCTCCCTTCCCCCTCCCTCACCCCCCCGAAAAAATCCCCTTTTCCATCGCATCCCCAACCCCATCGTCTTCCCCCCCAGTGCACGCACGGTGCCGTGGAAGCGGTCGGGGTCGTAGAGGCGTTCGGAGCAGAGGTTGTAGACCTTGTAGCGCCCACTGTGCCGTGACTCCAGGAAGCGCATCACATCGTCCATGTGGTTGCGGTATAGACCCTGGCTCACATGCATCATCATGCGCACACACATACAGAATTGTGAACACGAGTACATGCATAAGTGCACGTATAGAAACGAAGCCCACATGCACAGCGCATGTGCAGACAAGAACCCGACAAACAAAAGCACGCTCTGACCATTGCCATGCCCCCAGGCCCCATGGCCATGGCAATCCCCCACACCACACCACACCACACCACACCACACCACACCACACCGCTCTGACCTCCACGAAGCCAAGAAGGCCTGAGCTGGGGTCGCCAGCGGGGAAGCCCATGGCAATGATGCTGTCCGTCACATACGTCAGATCCAGGTCGAAACCCCCCTCCTGCTCCATGTGGCACAGCGATACAACGCCACATGCCACGTGTCAGCGCGAGATGGACATGGCACAAGATGGGGCACGTGGTGCGGTGGATGGAAGGAAGGTGACACGGAAAGAGCAGCAGCAGGAGCAGCAGCAGCAGCAGAGAGCAGGAGCGGGCATGGCGGGCGGCACACCTGGAAGCGGCGGTGGTTGTGGGCGACGAGGTGGCGGGCGTGGGTCTGCACGGCCTTAGCAGCCCTGCTCAGCTGGCTGCTCCAGAAGCTCATGCCCATCTCCACCGCCTGCCCTGCCCTCGCCTTCTCGCCGTCACCCCCGCTGCCGCTGCCGCTGCCGCTGGCGCTGCTGGTGCTGCTGCTTCTGCTGACCATAGGGGTGGTGCTCTCGACGCTGCTCGAGCCTTCTGCGACACCACTGTCAGTTGAACCCCCACCATCATCAGCACCATCCACGCGCCCATGCTCATCACCCCCCTCACTGCCTCTACCCTTCAGCCCTGCTGTTTCCTCTCCTCCGTCACTTGTTTCTATTCCGCCCCCTTCTCTTCCCCCGTTTTCCGCGCCTCCGCCCTCTCCGCTTCCTGCGTCCGCTTCCGCCCCCCCAGTCCCCTTCAGCTCGTCATTTCCGCCATGCTCACTCAAACTCCAACTCGTCCCCTCCGCGCCCTCTCCGGAATCTCCTCGATTCCGTGTCTCCGCGCACTCTGCCGTCGCACCTCCCCCATCGCTTGTCCCCGCTTCGCTGCAACGGAGTTCCGCCCGCGCGCCGCCTCCCGCCGCCATGGATTCACTCATTATCGCGCCGTCGCCAGGTCTTCCGCTCGCGCTAGAATCAATTTCTTCTGGGCAGCCGGACTGTTCGTCAAAAGTCACTGTCGCTCCCGCTGATGCGCTTCCTTCCCCCTCCGCTTCCCCACTCCGCGGGGAGGCCATGCTTGCTTCCGCAGCGCCAGTCGTCCGCGCAGAGTCCGCTTCTCCGTCCACAGCGATATTGCTTGCGCTTCCCACGAAAGCCGTGCCTTTACTCGCGGTTCGTACAATGCCTACCCGCTCCCGCGCTTCTCCTTCAGCTACAACACTCGCCACTAATGGAATAGGTCATTTGAGCCATACTTATTTTTAGTGTATGTGTATTTGAGCCATACTAATCATGACTGTCTTGAAAATGACGACAAAGGGCGTCGGTTGTCCGAAAATCGTAATTGCGAACGACTCTTGTTGTGAGGAAGACATCCAACTGTAGTGGATTTCATAAATCTAAGTTTATGAAAACCACTCTTCCTGTTACGTTAGCCCCGAACTTCAATGTCCCGTGAGGTGATTACCTAGCGAACATCAAAAGCACACCAGCCACCAACCTCTTCCGAGGTTTCTCATTTTCCATTCTCACCAAACCCACAACCTTCACCAAACCGCGCTGAGTCCCAGCCTTCCTGCCCCTCGAGAATATCTTCAAGATTCCCCAAACCCCCTCTGCAGCCCCATCTTCCGCGCCTTACCTCCTCCTCTGCCCATACACCGCCCCCCACGCGCGCAAGTCCTCTCCATCCTGCGCGACCTTCCCAAACCCCGCCGCACGTGTCCTCTCCAGAAGCATCTGGTGCAGCGGAGGCGGGCAGAACAGGGCAGTGCGGTTGTGCGCTGCTTCAGTTCTGCCCTAAAGCTTGTCTGCCATGCCAGGCATTTTTCCTGCTATGCTATCCCTTCGGCTCGGCCTGCAGTTTGATGCTCCTCGTGCTATCACTACCCTGTTTTTCCTGAAGCTAGTCCGTGTCTACTGGGTCGTAGCAATTTCCGGTCGTCATCCGCCGACGAAGTAAAATAGGGATGGTTGACCTAATAGCGGTCACCGTTATGTCCGCGTAGGTTGCACCTCAGGGGTAGTCTCCATGGCTATCATAAGATGTCTGCTGGCTAGGCGCAGTAGAGCATGCCGGGCCCTAGTTCTTGTATCTTAGTTCTAGTTCCTTAGGATTTGCTGCATTGCATTTCTCCCGTCTTACTCCCGCCTTAGACCGTAACGCGTAAGCCGTTGGAGGGTCGTGAAGTCGGAAGGAGCATCGTGGATTCGCGGCGACCGCAGCCGCAGGCGTCTCCTCCGCGGGCCGTCCCTTGCGCAAGGGCGCGCTGATGCCACGATACGGGCAGCAGGGGGGGGAGGCCGCCAGCGGCGCAAACCAGATGGCGACGGAGGAAGCGGTAACCCGGCAACCAGCACCAGAGCCCGTTGACATGCAAGGTCCGTGGGGGTGCGATGGCGGGGTGCTATTCACTGGAGTTGGTTTGACCGGCGGTGCAGTGCGGTAATGAAGAGTTGTCAGGTAGGCTGCAGGAATGGGCGACTCCCGTGTTAGAAGATTTCCTTTCGACTGGTGCGGGCGAGCTGACGCGACGACGGCGAGGGTCGTCGCACGGAGACCGTTTCCGCCAATAGCCTAAGCTTCGCTCAACGTCTGTTCGCCTTTGTCGTAAAACTCCCAAGAATAGCTCCACTCTCGTTATCCTCTCTCGTTTCCGGCGCTTCGTCTCTCCATGCGCCTCCACCCTCGTTCTTACCCCCGTTGCGCGTTCTCCCCTGCCCGGCGTCGCGCCTCGCAGAGCTGCGAATGATGAAGGAGCGGTTCGCGAAGCTGTTACTGGGCGAGGACATGTCGGGCGGCTCCAAAGGCGTGTGCCCCGCACTCGCCATGTCCAACGCCATCACCAACCTCTCAGGTATGTGCGCTGCTCCTCGCAAGCATGTATCTTTCACTTGCGCAAAGGATGGCGGAGTTTTGACCACAGAAAGCCAGCACTTTTTCACTCCTGCTCTCCCGTTTCTTGCACTCGTTATGAGCATGCCCTTATCTATACTCACGCCCACATGTAGTGCATGCCATGCCATGCCATGCCATGCCATCATGCCATAACCCATGCTGCCGCACGCTGCCAGCCACCTCCCGTGGCCGTCGCTTGGCTCTCTCGCGGCGCGTCGTGCCACGATCTACGGTGCAACCCACCCCGCCCTCCTCTGCCATCCGCCCCCCCGCCCTGCTCACTATCTCCCCCGCCCTGCCCCCTACCCCCCGCCCGCCGCGCAGTGTCGCTATTCGGCGAGGGCATGCGGCTGCGGCCGCTATCGGCGGACTGCAAGCGGCGGTGGCGCATGGAGATGGGCATCATGCTGTCCGTGTGTCAGCACATCGTCGAACTCGTGCCGCAGACACAAACCATGCCCGACGGCTCCACGCAGGAGGTCCGCCTCTCCCCCCGCGCGCTCGCCCACTCACCCCGTCGCTCGCTTACTCACCCCCTCACCCACTCACTCACTCGTTGCATTCGCACTAGGCATTCCCCACGTGTGTAGGGTCTCCTCTCCCACTCGTTCATCGCGTGCCCTCGTTCGGTTGCTCTTGCGCATAACCCCCCCCCGGGCGTGCCCCTACCACGCATACCCCCCGGGCATGGCGGAGGCGGCACGCTGGGAGACGACGAGGCGCGCATGAGAAGGGAGGGACCAGGGTTGGGAGGCCGGGCAGTGGGAAACGAGGCGAGTCGGGAAGGGAACGGCGGGGTGGCGGCTGAGCGCGGTTGTTGATTGGGCGCGGGGGCGAAGGCGGGGCGCTGGACAGGAGATGCGTAACGGGGCAGTGCTAGTTAGGAGCTAAGGGTTTCGATGCTCTTCGTGTAGGCGGCAGGCCAGTCTTGCATGATGGATGAAAGATCATGCAACATCCTCCCATCGCTCTCTCCATCGCCCCTGTCCCACCTCCCTGTCCCATTCCCCCACATACGCTTTCCCGCGACTGCCGCTTGCACCGGCGCAGGTGATGGTGACGAAGCAGCGGGACGACTTGCGGCAGCAGTTGCCTGCTCTGCGCAAGCTGGACGACATGCTGCTGGTGCGCGGGGGGAAAGGGCGGTGCACGGGGGGAAAGGGGGAAGAAGTTGGGGGGAGCGGGAGGGGGAAGAGGGGCATGGGGATGCGTGATGGCGAAGGGGGAGAGTAATGGGTGGAGATGGATACTTGTGGGTGGAATGTGTGGTATAGTGCGGTGACTGGGAGGTATTGAGTGCATGCTGTAATGGGAGGTTTAGTGTGCCACCCTTTGGATTGTTTTAAAAAGAACTTACTCACACTGGGACCATGTTCTCTCCCTCCCACGATGCAACCCCTTCGCTCACCCCTTCCTCTCCCCACCTCCCCTCCTCTGGGGTCTCCCTCTCTCCCTCTCTCCCTCTCCCTCTCCCTCTCCCTCTCCCTCCTCCCCTCCCTCCCCTTCCGCTCCCACCATTCCCCTCCTCGCGCCTCTCGCCCTCCGCCATCTACCCCTCACAGGAGATGTTGGATGAGTGCAACAGCACCGAGTACTGGTACTCGCAGGAGCGCCCCGACCCCGTCGCCAACGGCGCTGTAGATGCAGGCCACAAGGCCGCGGGCTCCTCGTCACGGCGCAACCCGCGCCACCGCGACGGGTGCACGTGCGCGGACTGCCTTGCAGACGCTGACGACGACGACGACGGGTACGGCGGCGGAGGAAAAAAAGGGTCCAAAGGCCGAGGGGGAGGGGGCGGCGGCGGCAGCAGCAGCGGCGGTGGGGGAGGCGGCGGGGGAGGGGTGATGCGGGAGTCGAAGACGGGCAAGTGGTGGCGGCCGGTGCCGCGGGTGCCGGTGTGTGGGTTGAGTGAGGGGCTGCGCAAGCACCTGGAGCACCAGATGGAGAAGGCGGCGCAGATTGTGAAGCTTGCCATGGCCATCAACACACAGGCGCTCGAGGACATGGCTGTTCCTGCTGCTTACACCGACAACCTGCCGAAGGTACGCGGCACGCCTGGGTGGGAATGGAATGGGGGCCTGCTGCTACTTTTGAGGCGCCTCAAAAGCCATCAACACCCAGGCGCTGGAGGACATGGCTGTGCCTGCTGCATACACTGACCACCTGCCCAAGGCACTTACGCCTGGGTGGGAATGGAATGGGGGCCTGCTGCATGTGTGACTTTTTGGTCATTCTACCGTGCTGCTGTTCTTTGTTCTGCCGTCCCTCTCACGCCCCCCCCTCTCGCTTCATCATTCTGCCCAGTCGCCTCGCCTTTGCCCGGGGCATGCCTTCTCCCTCCATCTCTCTCCTCCAACCGTTTCCTCCCCTCGCCTGTCTGTCACCCCACCACCCCCTTACACAATCCCCTCCCCGGCCCCCTAACCCTCCCTGCACCACTCCCTACCCTGTTCCCCCCATACCCCACTCTCCTCGTCTCCCCCATCGCCACACTCACCCGGCAGTCGGGGCGAGCGGCGCTGGGCGACCAGATCTACTCGGTGATAATGAGCAGCAGCTTCAGTGTCGACACAGTTGATCTCACCAACGAGCACGCCGCACTCAAGCTCGCCTGTCGCCTCTTGAGTCGACTTCAAAAGCCCACCACTCCACCCACTCGCTCATGCACTCCTCCCCCGTCCCTACCCCTGCCCCCACGTCTCACAGTCGGGGCGAGCGGCTCTGGGCGACCAGATCTATTCGGTGATAATGAGCAGCAGCTTCAGTGTGGACCGGGTGCTCGACACAGTTGATCTCACCAACGAGCACGCTGCGCTCAAGCTCGCCTGCCGCCTCGAGGCCGCTGTCTACCACTGGCGCAAGATGGCCCCGCCCCTCCCCACCAGGTGCGTGCGCGCGCGCTAAACACTGCATTGTTCGCCGTTTCCCGCTACTGCTCCCGCTCTCGCGTTACTGCTACCACTTCCTGCTTTGCCCTTTCCAGCCACATGCGGCAGTTGTTCCGATCATGAGTCTCCCGCCTGCTCCCCTATTTGCGTCTCGCTCTTCTCGCATGCTACAACCGCCCCCTTTCCCCCCACATCCCTGCCAACAACCTCGTCCGATCCTCCCGTTTTCCCTCCCCAACCCCACTCCCACTCCTCGACCCATCAGGTCTCCCCAGCTGACGCACTCAATGAGCGGGCACTATTCAAGCTCTGGTCCGCTGGGGCGAGACGTGTCCAAGTTTGAGGAGAACGCCAACCGAGCAGAGGCGTGCCTGCGCAGCATCAAGGACCGCTGCCCCTCTTTGCCGCAAACCACTCTCGACACCTCCAAAATCCTCTACAACACGGTCGGTACAGCAGCGCCTTGTCTGCTGCTGCATGGCGCCACTGAGTTTACTTACCCTACATTGCTGAAGATTTTCCTTTTTGTCTCTTGCCACATGACCCCTCAAGTCCGCCCCTTTCTGCGACCTATCCCGTCCCTCCTCTTCCCACTCATCCCCCTTCCTTCTTCCCAACCTCTCGCACACTCTTCCCACCCCTCACCACCACCACCGGTACCCTTCCCTCATGCTCCCCTCCTCCCCCCCCCTTTCCCCTCGGCAGGACGTGGGGAAGGCGGTATTGGAGAGCTATTCGCGAGTGCTGGAGGGCGTGGCATCGAGTGTACGCACGCGCATTCTGGACGTGCTACATGCGGACTACCTCGCACACAACCCCGACGAGCATTCCCAAGACCGCCCCCTGCCGTCCCGAGTGGACGAGCACCCGCCGCAGCAAATGAGAGAGCGCCACCTGGACTTCAGCCTGCACATCCCCGACAGCGCGTTTGACGCGGCCTCGGATTACGACGAGACGGGGTCCGTGTATTCTGATTGGAGCACGCCGAATCTCACTCCCGTGGGCCCTGCTCCCCACCATGGGCACGGGCACGGGCACGGGCATGGGCATGCGCACGGGCACGGGCATGGGGGAGGGGGAGGAGGAGGGGGGTATGGGGAGCGTGGGCATGGGGGAGCGGGGGGGAGCGGGTCGGGTGTGCGGACGTTTGAGATTCGGCAGCAGAGCCTGCCGGTGCGGCTGGGGAGCAATGACCCGCGCATGCAGGCAGAGGCACAGCGAGCCATTGAAGCCGCCGGGGGGGGAGGGCCACGCGGGGGGATGCGGCCTCATAGCCCTATGCACGCGCAAGGGATGGAGGCGGGGAGAGGCTCAGGGGAGGCGGGCATGGGGGGCGGAGGCGGTGGGATGGTGCCCCCTCCGTTTATGCGATCGGTCACGTCTCCCACTCACCGCGCGTCTGCATCGCTTGATCCCTCTGCAGGGGGAGGAGGAGGGGGGAACGCAGGGCGGGGCATGCAGAACATGCAGGGTCATAATAGCTTCAGTGGCCGCCCGTCTCCCCCTCCTGGCCAGTACCCATACTCGTCCCCTGAGCACCGCTTTGCACCAGGGCATGGGCAAGCACAGGGGCAAGTGCAAGGGCAAGGGAAAGAGCAGCAGGGAGGGGGGGCGAGTGCTGTGCCTTACAACCATTCAGCTGCAGCAGCGGCGGCGGCGGCGGCGGCGGCGGCAGCGGCTCGCAATCTGAACCGTTCAAACTCATGGAAGGGGTTCCTGCCATCGCGCAGGGGGTCTACCCACCATGCCGCCGCTGCCGCTGCCGCCGCCGCTGCTGCTGCAGCAGCAGGAGGAGGTGGCACGGGCACAGGGGGGTCACCAGGAGGCGGAGGAGGAGGGGGAAGTCCGCAGATGGCTGGGGGAGGTGGGGGGTATGGTGGGGAAGGAGGATCGCCGAACACAGGATATGGAGTGTACAGCATGGGAGGAGGAGGGGACATTGTGGGAGGCATGGTTGGGTCTCGTAGCGGTCCCTTGCCGCCTCATGCTCCCAGGGGCCTGGGGCACAAGCAGAACAGCGGTGACTGGAGCATGTCGTGAGGCGGCGGGGCTTTCAGTGTGAGAAACCAATGCACTGTGTAGATGCGAGGTGTGGAGTGGTTCGGTTCAGTACCTACTGCTAGTTCTAGGTTTATTTATTTTAGGGCTCATTCTGTACCAGGTGCAGGGATGTGGGGTTATTTTGGACTGCTGTATGGGCTGGGACGAGTTACCGGGGCTCGAGACAAGTGTTCTGGTGACAAATAGATCCTATCGTTCATGCCAACCATGGTCTCTGTCATCAGACGTACGGTAGCACACTATGCAGCAGTTCTTCGGAGCTTATGCATTCCAAGCAACTAGTAATTTGGAAATAATGCTTACAAGAATAATAGCCCTTTCTGACTAGAAACTGCCGAGAATAATCAGTCATTTCGCACCCTTAGAACTTTCGCGAACCACTTCGACTCTTCCACATTGTTCGTGACCTCTCATTGGCAGAAACATGTGAAGCAACCGAAGCCTTTCGTCACCGCCCTGGGGAAACTTCTCGCAACGTGGTTACCAGGCACAACCATTCTTCGCAGGGTAGGAATCTAGAGGGAAAGAGCCGTTTGGGAACATCCACCACTCAAAACTCGACTCTGGTATTCCCATCAGCTTCATTGGCGGTGTTCTGGTGACTCCCGCTAGAGGGGGAGGTGGAGGGGCGAATGTAAATGACGATGATTCCGCGGATGTTTCCAAGCCGGTTTTGACAAACTCCCGCTACAGCCGTAGACGGGAAATTTCAGGCGCCAGGGGGGGAAGGATCCGACGGTAAATGACGAACATGTGGGGACATTTTCCTGGTCTAGAAACGAGGGTAGTTTATTTCGCACTAACAAGCAAGACAGGGTACAAACAAAACCAGGGTTACTTCTTGTCGGAAAACAGAAGTCACCTTCAACAATCCAACCTCTAGGGTACATTACAAACTGACTAGGGTTTGGTCTAAGAAGGGGACGTGGTTTTTTTTTTTCCGAGGTCTTGTGCGTGTGGGAGGGAGAACCCCTGAAGCAGTCGTTAGTTTCACGGGTGGAATGTCGGTTTCCCTTCCCCAGCTCCTCCCTCACATGCCTGTCCCACATCCCCGTGAGGAGTGGATGCCGGAATGGGGGGCGAGGGAGGCAAAATTTGCCCGATCAGGAAGGTGGGGAGGGTTTATGGGAACCTTCCAAAGGGTGCACATCCCTGAGGGTAAATGAGCGTTCTATTGCCATTTACCTTCAGCCTGGTTCGGAGGGCAAATAGGAGGCTCGGCACGGTTTCCCGGGCTGACCGTCGTGTCGACCCAAAAAACGCAGAGGGGGGAAGATTCCTATATCCCCTCGCTCCCCCCTCGCCAGTGCCTAGAGAACACCACCATTTTGACGACTCTCCCTTGCAACGGAACGCGTATATTTTCAATCTCTGGTTTCGCGTGCGTCGTTGCTTCCTGAGCATACTACGTCTTAGTATAACCCTCGCCATGTATCACACGCAGTGGTCGCGGAGGGTGTCGTCGCGTCGCGGAGCCGGTGCTCCGGTGTTCGTCTACATCATGGCGTTACAGGCGCTCCAGCAATTCTTCCAGCAGCCTTATTCCCCGCCGGTCACCCTAGGGCTCATCGCGTTGATGACGGGAATTCACTTTCGACCTGCAGGGTTTCTGGAGGATAACCTTCCGTACGTGTCGGAGATTTGCATGAATCCTGCTCTCGTCGTCCAGGTAAGCCGCCATAATTATCTTGCCAGATCGCACGAGCCTCTAAACTCGTCTCGCGCAACGGGCCTTGAGTCCCTGTCTTTCCCATCGTGCGCCTGTCTTCGCACCCTCTTTCCCGGCTTTTTTCCCAAAAATACCTTCTCCGCGTCTTCCTCTCCCGTTTCCCATCCCATTTGCCCCGCAGGAGCGCAACTGGCGGCGGCTCGTACTGAGCGTGCTGTTCCACGCGGACGACGCGCATCTGATATTCAACATGGTCTCGCTCCTCTGGAAGGGCGTGCACCTCGAGCGCCGCCTCGGCTCGCCTCGCTTCGCAGCCCTCGTGGCCGCCTTCGCGCTCCTCTCTCAGTCCCTGCACGTCGCTGCTGCGCGTGTGCTGTCTGACGTGCTCGCGATACACACGCCTTTCTACAGGGAATGCTCCGTGGGGTTCTCAGGAGTGCTTTTCGCTCTTAAAACCGTCATGAACGCGGATTCACCCACTTACTCGTCTGTTTACGGGTTTGTGCTGCCCACTAAGTACGCAGCATGGGCAGAGCTGCTGCTGATACAGCTGCTGGTTCCGGAAGCTTCTTTCCTAGGGCATCTGTGTGGAATCCTTTCTGGCCTAATCTACCTCCATGGGACTTCCCTCCTGCCGCGCTCTGCTCGCCCCTCCGCCTTCCTGTCCACCCTTGCTGCGCCGCTGCTCACGCTCTTCCCGTTTCTGCGCAGCTCTCGAGGGCGCACATGGGCTTCAGGGCAGTCAGGGCAGGCTGCCAGGGGGGGAACAGGGGGCTGGAGACCAAGTGCAGGAGCAGCAGGAGGAAGAGGTGCAGGTGGAGGTGGAGGTGGGGGTGGAGGTGGGGTTGGGAGGGACGGGGCATCAGCAGGTGTAGGTGGCATATGGAGTTGCCCTGCATGCACGTATGACAATCCATGGCAGGCTGTGCGGTGTGCCATGTGTGAGGGAGCACGGCCAGCAGGGGGGAGAGATGTTGGGGGAGGATGGATAGATGGGTATGGAAGGGACACTGCTCCTTCTGCACCTACTTTTCCAGAGGGGCAGGAAGAGGAGAATAGTGGAGTAGAGCAGCAGCAACCACAGCAACCTCTCAGGCAGCAATGGCATGTCAGATCTGCAGAGGAGCTTAGAGCATTGAGATTACAAAGATTCGCTAGGTGATGAGATCATGTCCGCTCTGCTGGATTGGATCATTGAAGATTATTGGACTGAGATTAGTGTTACGTCAAGGCCGTCAATAAAATATAGCTGATGACTAGGAATAAAAATTAGCAAGGAAAATTGAGTTTCTAATAGTTGGTCTACATTCTACCATTGTTACTGCAGCCTTCCACAGCTGGTACTGTATCTCTGGCTGAAAGCTCAAATCAGGACTTGGTTTGGTAAACTGGAACAAAATCGCTTCCCTGATGAAGGGACAAAATTGATGCAGTGAAAGGAGTTTTTGTCTCCAATCCAGCTTCCCTCCCTCCTTCCAGCTGCAGTTCTCTCCTCCCAGCAAAGACGTTTCCGTCTGCAAAACTGCCGGCAGCAGAGCAAGTGTGTGCGTGCACGAATGAGTGCATCCGGGCGAGTATGGTTGGAGCATCCCTGGATGAATGCCAGGTCCCCAAGCCCCAACGTCTGCAACAGCCCTCCACAATTGGCAGCAGGGCTGCTCTACAATTGGCAGCAGGGCTCCACAATTGTCAACCATGTGCAATCAGCTGCGCCCCACAAACCCCCCTTGTCAACATAGTAGCTCCTGCAGCAGAGATTCTCCAGTTGCCCTCAGAACCAGCGACAACCAGAAGCAGCAAACATCACTTCAGGGCTCTCAGCCACCTCCCAGGACAAGTCGTCAGCCTTGACTCACAACGCCTACATCACTTGCTTCGCCTCTACCACCATTTCCACTGGGTTCTCCTCCCCTCCCGTCCGCCCCTCTGGCAGCAGCATCTGCGAGGCAACAGCTTCGTCCACGTCAGCAGTGAGCGCCATGAGCAGAGCCATGGTGGCCGCCACTCCCAGCGCTGACACCAGCGGAATCGGCGACCCGTCGTCGCCCTCCTTCTCCGGCTCCTCCATCTTTCCGAACAGCTGCATCGTCAAACTGCCAGCTGTTCATGCGAGTCCGTGGGGGAGAGGAAGGGTAGGGAGAGGAGAGGACAAGGGTGAGACAAGGCGCGTTGTCTAAAGCGGTAGTCGCACAGAGAACGTCAAGACGAGGCGAGAATAGGGAATGTTCGCGTCAATTGAAATCAACATCAACGGAGGAAGGTAAAGAACTGCAGCTCACCCAGAATCAAGGAGGCGCCGACCCAGCCAACCGGACCCCACCGCTCATTCAGCAGCACCCACGCGAACGCGGCGCCCCAGAGCGGCTCGAGCGTGTAAACCATGGCGGCCTCCGCGGCGGTGACGTCTCTGAGCGCGACGACCTCGACCCAGAGGCAGAAGGCGGTGGAGAGCACGCCGGTATACGCCATCTGCCACCACGGCCACGCCTGCACGGCGCCCCAGTCGCACGACAGCAGCGAGTTGAGCCCCGCGATAGGCACGCCGCTGAAATTCAGGAGCAGCATCCATGCGATGGAGAGCACGGCGGTGACGGAGAGCTGCAGCGAGATGAGCGGGATGGCGTCCGTGGGGTCCACGTGGCGCGTGTGGTGCTCGGATCGCAGCATGTGGATGCCGAAGAGAAGCGCGCTCGCGATGGTCCAGATCTCGCCCAGCTGGGATTGGCGGAAGGCGGGAAGGAAGGAGCGGAATTCAACGCTTAGATGGTCAATTGGGGGGAGAATTGGACTAGAGGGTTCTAAATTGACGCATTGGACTGACGCAGATGACGACTTGAGGCAAGTGAAACGAGTCAACTTACAAGGGAAGAGTCCGATGCGCCGGTTTCAAGCAGAGCCACTCCAACGACGGCAGCAGCGGCGGAGGCCCAGGTGATGTAGGGGATTTTGGCGCCGAACACAAGGCCCGCAATCAGCGGCACCTCGATGACCTGCATGCGGTTGGAACGAGCGCACACGAGATCAGATGCACGTCAGATACAAGTCAGGAGGATACTGGAGGATAAGGATCAGCAAGAAGCAGAGCAGAGAGAACTGGACCGCTCGGATCCAGCGATCTAGCGACGCGCATCCAATGATTACGACGCATTGCAACTGAACTTTGAAACACCGTGTACGACTTTTCCCGATCGAAAGAACTCAATTGCCCAGTTATGCGCACCGTGAACGTGCCGATGAAAGCGGCTCGCCCCGCCTCCGTGGTCTGCAGGCCGACGGCTTGCGCGACGTATCCCGCGCTGGCCCACACGCCCAGCTCCAGACCCGCGCGCCGCACGGCGGGGTTGTCAAGAGCTTTGCGGAGGAACGGCGCGAAGGCGAGCGCTGCGATGGCGAAGCGACCGATGGAAAAGCTGAACGCGTCCAGTGCTAGTTGGCCTTCCTTAATCACCGAGAGGTTGGATCCTGAAAGAGGAGCGGGACGTCACGGGTGTGGGACGCGGAACAGGTCAATTACACTGCTCGACCATGAGAAATTACGCACAGGGCGTACCTCTCGACCAGCGGGATAAGCAATTGCGCATTACGAGATGAATTGTTCATTCCGGCCGGCAGAAGCTCACCATATAGAAAAGTGAGCAGATTGAGCAGCGCGAGGCCGCGAACTCGAGGCGAGATCTTGGACTTAATCCAATTCGATGCTGCCGCGGGGGCTCTAAGGACGGTGTCTTGAACATCCTCGAGGAAGGTGTTCCTCTCCTCGACGTAAGGCTCTGGCGTAAGCAGGCCGATCGCGTTGCACCGCAATTGCTCCTTGTTGGAGGACTCGGGTCGCACAGAACATGTGGGAGCGTAACGACGCCGGCAATTGCTCTCTGGCTTGCGAAGTTGGGAAGCGGCGAGGGGGGTCACGTGGAGCTTCGGAAGGAAAGAGGTAGTTAAGGAAACCCGGACTTGCCCAATTGAGCATAATTGTGATTGCCTAATTGATGTTGGCGTCTTACAGGCTCTTAGCGTCTGTGTCGCAGCCATCTGGAAATTATGACGAGGCAGTGGAAGAATAGACAATTCTGGGAGAAAGGAATGAAAATACTGACTATCGGCGAAGTAGTAACCTCGTGGGTGGTGGGCTGCTAAAGCGGGGCTGGCTCCGTTAAAACACAGGTACGTAGAACTGGAAGGCGGTGAAGGTAAGGAGTGACGACTGTGAGTGGGCAGTTCTCAGACTTCAACCGCCGAACACTAACATTTATGGACCTGCCTTGGTAACTGGTCGAAGTTCTCTCTGCCTGATATTCTGCTGGTCCGCCACTTTCGCCTTCCCCCCACCTCTCCGCCTGCACAACCCTCGTTTCCGCCAATTCGAGACCATTCCCGCTCACGCGCAGCTCCTTAGGGGCAAAGGGCCTGCGCGCAGCACATTCGGGGAAGGGGTGCATGCCACGACGGCATTTCATGGCGCACGTTGGGCGCACAGCGAGTGGAGTTTCCCCCGGTGGAGAGATCTGGTGTGGTCTGATTGGGTGAGCGGACCTTAGGAATCCATGTGATAACATGACCTGACCAGTTCGCATTCTTTGTCACTGTAGCACCGCCGCAGCTGCCTCGCGGGGATCTCCGCTCCAGCAGCTGGGGACAATCGAGGAATGCTCCCAGAGTCTTGGGGAAGATCCCCTAGAGAGGAGGAAATGACGAACCGCCCCGGTTTCGGATTTCCGATTCCTTTGGGCAGTGGCTTTGACACCGCCTCGCTTTTCCGCTCGCGTCCGATTCCTTGGGGCAGCTGATTTCGACATTTCCAGTTTCCGGTGACCAGAAAAATTATTAAGTTACCTGGTATTAGTCTAGTGGCCAGTGAAAAAAAAAAACCCCTTTCGGAGGGCTGGCCATTAGGGAGGCATCAACCCTAAACACCTTGCCTCATGGTGTTTAGGGTTGATGCCTCCCTGACGGCGTCCCCCCCGTGAGGGGTTTATATTTTTTGTCCCATTAAATAAAACAAAGTTGTAGTTTCTGGACTCCAAATGGGAAAATAGCGTAATTTACTGACCGAAGGTATCGGACGCGAGCGCGAAGCGAGGCGCTGTCAAAACCACTGCCCAAAGGAATCGGAAACCCGAAACCAGGGCGCTTCGTCATTCCCTCCCTAGAGAGCTGCGGCGGAACACACGGAGTCGGGAGTGTTATCTGTAGATGCGTGACAGGATGCGAGTGAGAGGTCAGCAATGGCCGTCACGAATCGCGTTCGGTAGAGAATGGGGATGGCGGCTCGATCTTGTTCACACAAATGAGGGCATCTGGGTTACGCCAGCTGCGCAAAAGATCCTCAGCTGCGAGAGGTGGAACACTTTCTGCGCTGCCCTTGCGGCCCAGTGTCCTGCTCTGCTTTCGGCTGGGACGCTGTGTTGGCAGCTCACGTGGTACTCCAGTGCTGCTGAAGATGCCCCACGCGGCGACCGAATGACGTGGCTGTATTCTCTCCTGCCTGTGAGAGATGTCCCGGCAGTCCAAGAAGAGCTTTTCATTGGACAATTGATCTATCCAAGAACTAGGGCGACCAATGCACCTGGGAATTACTGGGGGAACGGTCAGTAATGAGTGTACTGGTTCGTGAAGTTATAAGCGTCATCTACTAACTTCAGTATGGTAGAACGAAGTAGAGAGGATTGCACTAAGGTGTCAAACGAGTACAAAATGTGAGCGAAGGCATGAGCGAACATTTATACGCGAAACATGCAAACGGTAACGCGGTGCGTGCGAGCTAGCTAGTGCTACGCTGGCAGCGAGGCTCGGGCTAGTCCCGAAGCGTAGGCCGACACGGCCCGACCAGCGGTACACAGTTTGGTGAAACAGTGCGCGCGAAGTTGGCGAAGCCCCGTTGACACTAACAGGCGAACAACGGCTGCTGCTGTACGCGATGTTGCAGGTCGCGGTAAGGAATGTCGATAAAATTTCTTACACTACCCCCCCCTCAAGAAGCCCCCTCCGCTACGCGAGTGCGTGTATATCGCTGAAACCCCGGCTCCTTAGGTATACTTGCAGGGCAGGGTGGTTTTCGATGTTGGCTAGGGGCACCCAGCTGTCCTCAGTTGGCGTGCGGTCCTTTCAGCGAACGAGGAACTCTGCCTATGGGGTGGCGAATCCGATTGGCTCAATGATCGGCTC